AGAAATGCCCGGTCAGGGTGTCCGACCAGGCTGAGCTTTTACCTGTCAAAACCTCAAATTTACCGGACAATTGTCTGATGACCGACTGTTATTTGCAGGCTCGACTGACATTTGCGCAAGTGTCGATGATGTATCAGCGAAGTGTCAGTGAAGTATCGGTGAAGTGTCGGTGTACTGCCAAATATATCAGCTGATATATATATCTGTCGATACATGTATATCGACCAAGTCTCAATCATGACACTGATTGCTAGTCAGTCCAGTATCGCTCGAATATCAGTTGAGTGTCAATTGAGTAACGACCAACATATCAACTGATACATTGGTCGATATGTCAATCAAAGCTCCCCATAAGATACATGATCCAAAATGGCTGTGCCTAGATGTCTGGCATACAACACGGACAGTGTTTTTAAAGTACTCAGTAAGCAGCAGTCAGAAACTTTTCCATTTATGACTATGTATTTATTGTGTTACCATTAAAATTATTGAAACTAATCGTAATCAGGACAACCGGGGCACCATTCAGGCTAACCTTAGCGGACACGGAGGATTTAAGATACTCCATGTCCGGTTAGCCTGAATAGCACTCCAGTTATCCTGAAAAATGTAAAGGTTAACCTGAATGGCACATTGGTTAGCTTCTCAAAAATAATTTCCTGGGATTATTTGTAATGCACTAATCAATTTTAACCCCGATCTCCAAACCCTCAGGGAGCTGTGGAGAAATTCACAAGAGTAGAAACTTCCCCCAGGTCCCAGGGACAGATTTAGAAGGTGATTGCCCTAGCCCATTAAGCCGTCAAGTTACAACCTGTGTGCACCAGGCAAATTTTTGTTTGTTTTGCAAAAAAATCTGTCATTAGTTGTATGTACAAGTGCACACAGTGATTTTTTTGCTACCAAATTTTGTAATGCCTTACCAAACTTACAAGGTGCCAGAATCCTGCTTTGGAGAACTTAAATGATAAAATCCTTAGCTTACATCAACCAACAATTTCTTCTCACCAAGTGAGGGACTGTTTATTAGCTATCACGTACAAATATCTCAGATATAAGCTCTAAGACCTAAGACCTCCTTGTAAGACCAACTTAGAAACTCAAAAACTAAGACCTAAGACCCCCTCCTAATGTGAAAAAACTTAAGACTTAAGTGTCCTCAAGGCTGGGATAGGGGTATGCATACTAGTCTTATAACTGTTGTGAAATTTTAATTGCTCTGGGGTCTCATCAATCATTTTATATGTCTGAAAATACATTACATGTATGTAGCTCCCTTCCCATATAATATTGCAATACAGCATGCAATGCAAATGTATATGTTAATAAATTTATTTATTCTTGGTATAACCAATAAATGCTACATGTATGATGTAATGATCCTCTCCACCCAAGTCTAAGTTCAGCCTGTAATTTATTTTGTAAGTGTTTAAGGAATATTGCTTTTACTGTGATTGACCACTTCCAGTTCATTACATGTATAACCAGCTTTAAATATTTTATTATCAAAGCATAATACAATTGGCCTACCTCACAAGTTGGAGTCACTCAAGAGTTGCTCTTCGTGTTCTGTTGAGTGGTACATGTAATTACATGTATATATGTGTGCTTGGCTGTGCCTTGTGCCTTCTACTATGTACTCTCTTGTGTTTCCCATGTGCTTAATATGTGATTCAATAATGCACTCAGCATGCTAACTGTTTTTAATAACTTTTTTCATGCGCCTACCCTCATTTTGTACAGCACTGAGAATTGAAAAAGAGGTTACTACTTGTTATGAATTTTATAGGGAAATACTTCAGTTAGAGATGAATCAGAGGAAGGAGGATTTTATGACAGGTAAAGACAAGTTACTGACATACATGTAGTTTATTTTCTCCCTGTGATATCTTGATTGGATATTAGCATGTCATTTCTTTTTTTTTTTTATTTTTTGATAAACATTTTGTACTGACACTACTCACCGTATTGAATGGCAAGTTGCATTACTAACAATTAGACTATGACTTACTGAAGGATAGCTAGTTGGAAAACAATGCATTTGTTTACATACATGTAACTTACATTTAATAGCAGAGCTCCAGTGAGCAAAGCATGCCACCAGAGCACCATAGGTAAGAATTTGCTTATAATTTCATTCCAAAGGCAGCACTCTGAATACAAGGCTGCAGACGGATCAGGGTTACGCCAAATTGCACGTGTGACACCATTTGCGCCCACAACGTAAGTAATATTGTTATACTTTTATTTGTGATATCTTCAAATTATGTTGAATCAATTTCAGTCTATGGGAACTTAATGCAGAAGGATTACCTGGAATCAAATCATCCCAGTTACACTATTCAATTGATAAGAATTATAATAATAATATTACAATCACGGTAACAATATTGCAACAAGAAAGATCTCATTCAAAAGGAAGTTGGTAATTCAGTTGGCAAGAGTATTGGACAAAGAAAAACTAGTGTCCCCTTTGGGAATTGAACTTACCACCTTCCACAGGCTTTTCAATAACGAAACCATTGTGGTACAGGTGAGCTATGACATTTGCTGGATTCATAAATGTCAAAGAAATATTTTATGGAGATGAAAGACAATGACTAGCCAAAAAAAAGAAGGCTTAAACCAAAGCACCTCTTACAGATTTCTTCATTATTGTGCACTGAAATCAAGTTTGTTCTATACATGTATATATTTATGAACACTGTCTTACATATATGTTTATGTTTACTTGCAGTGTGGTGTCATGTCCAAAGACAGACAGAAAAAAATGGACATTTGTACCACCTCACGAACATTTTTCTAATAGTGATTTTTCTAATGGTATTGCTGATGATGAGGATGACTTTCAAGCCGTGGCAGGTACATTTTTCTGGCTGTTAGTACTGCAGCCTTGACCCACTTTTTATTCATGCAACATTTACACAATCTAGTAGTTCTGGGCGCTATGACTAAAATATCAATGACTAGGCACACAGCAGTTGCACAACACTACAGCCATGAATAAGTCAGTAATAGTGAACAATAAAATAATCTGTCGGCTGTCATGTTACTGACATGTTAGGAACAGTATACCCACTGTATTAAGTACGCCAAAAATTGACCCAAAACCCTCATAGTTGAAAACAGTAAATAGGCATCTGGTGATCATACTGTTCCTACCGATTTACTTGATACAGTTTGAATGGTAAAAGAGGCTTCGTTAAGCCATCTCCAGACTGTGCATGCCAAAATTTAGCAGCATCATTGTGCCTATTTCCTAGATCTCCTTTTTTTTACACTAAAAGATGCTTGTTTGATTCATCTTCCTGTTGCAAATTAGCAAAGCCAAAGGAAGTTTTTCAGTCGCCCTATGATGCATTGTGGAACTATGGTTTACAGTACTTCATGTATGTCTGATTAAAACTTTTCAATATGGTGGACAAATGAGAACCAATTTGGGCAACACAGCAAAGTAGGCAAAAGCCATTAGATAGTAACTATCGAGAGTGCAGTGTACGGTATCTTCGCCATTTGATGTAGTTGTTGAAGCAATCAGTAAGTAAATGTTCACGATCAGTTCAGTTCACGACTTATTGACAGGTTCACCTGTTGGCTGACTCTCGACTGACAGTCGGTGCACACTTAAGTCTGAAACCAAATGAAAACTGTGGGCCGACTGTCGTCTGTTTGATGACAGTTGGCCAACAGTCGTCTGACTGTTGGTGGACTGTCGGCCAACAGTTGGACGACAGTTGGCCAACAAACAACTAACAGTTTGCAGTTAACAGTTGGCTGTCAGGTGACCGATAAGATCTTTTTGCAACTGTTCTTCAATTTTACCTATAAGTCACTCATTTAGTCTGAATGTACGGTTACCCTTTGGTATGGTTACATTTTAAAGCAGGAATTTATGAGCAAAATAAAAAAAAAAATGGTGATTGCAAACTAATTCTCGGTAGAATGAGTACTGAAAAGGTTGCAAAGAGTCAAGATTGTTGTGATAAAGAGGAAAAGTGTTAGCCGTCAACACTTAGATCTACTAATTGAAACTGGTAACTAAAGCTTACATTCTCAGTTTAAAGTTTCTCTCAAAAGGAACATCTCTTGGAATAACTGGCTTGCTATGTTTTGTGAAAGAAAATGAAACAGAATGAAATATAAAATTTAATGTAACAATAATGAAAATAGAACAAAACTAATTACAGTGTAACCTCTATTGAAAGGACACCCTCAGGATCTTTCCTGCTATCTGCTTAGTAGAGGGTATCCCCCTAATAGGCAGGGCAAAAAACTTTCACCTGTCTGAACATCTGAGACAAGTTGTTTTTGGCTTGGATGATTAGGGAAAATATTTTTCCTTCTTTACTCAAAAGATCTTACACCAATTATATTTCTTGTTTGAATCAAGTTTTCCAAAACAGTGCTTTTGATCAATCAATTGCACTGTCCTTGTTGTTCCATAGTATAATTTTTTTTCTTTGTTCCCCTCTGTACATACTGCTCAATCCTTGAAAGTATCCTAATAATTTGTAATAAAAATATTGGAAAAATTCATTTTGATGAGATTTTCATTCTGTTTATTTTGCCTTTTTACTTGATGTGCAGTATTTATAAATATTTTAATGTGAGGCAAGGTGACCTCTAGAAACCATCAGGGTTTTAGTTGAGGCCACCTGGTATGTAACAATATGGTTACATAAATAATGCAACAGTGTGCGGCTTTGCCAGTTCAGTAATTATTTACATGTATGTCTTAGCTGCAAAGGTTAGATTGCAATATTAGCTCAAAAATAATTTGGGATAGGCTTCCCATTCACATTTGTGTTATCTAGAGGTCTGCCAATCCAGCTTAACCATAACGATTTGGCCATTATTCTGAAGTTCATATAATTTAAGCCCCTGTCAGATGAGGTTTGACTAATTATGTCTCTTTATATATTTTTATTCTCCAACTTTACCTCCCCATGATCATAGTCCTCCGTTCTTTAGATACATGATTTCATGATCCATTACCACCTAAGTGACATGCCAAATTCTCATTCCAAAAAAAGAGCAATAGCTATGTATATTAGATAAAGCCAACACTGGGGTTAAAAGCGGTAGGTGAGATTCTTATCATAGAGTCAGACTTTGCCTATGTAATGTTAAGTAGACGGTAATAAGAATATATTGTCATGGTCATAAGTGTGGCGTAAGTAACTGTTTTATGTATATTGCTACCTAGGATCTCCTTTGTCAAAGAAGGCAAAGCTGGTAGGGGAATTTTCCAGTGGATGTCAACACAATTTTGCACAGAGCAAGGTGGGTTTTACTGATCAATATATACAACCTTAACAATAGGATTGGATATGCATGGACATACCATAAATCCTTGAATTAGCACCCGGGGCACTTATTTCAAATTTAGGAGAAAACTGGGGGTGCATAATTGAGGGGGCGCTTAATCAAGAGGGGGTGGGGGGGGGGGGGGGGGGGNTTTGAAGGTGTTTTTTGAAGATGTTCGCTCTTGTATTCTCGAATTAGTGCCCAGGCGCTTATTTCTAATTTAGGAGAAGACGGGGGGGCGATTATTCGAGGGGGTGGCTTATTTAATTTTTCCCAAATCGTTCTCAGATATGATTGGATTTTTGTAATACATGTACCTGTCAGAAAGGAGAGGCACTTATTCGAAGGGGTGCTTATTTGAGGGGAGGCCCTAATTTGAGGACTTCCCGTATGTATTATGCAGCATTACTTGTGCCCTGTAAAACCAACATGGTGTGGTAAGTCATACGAAATGTAATTATGGTAAACTCAGAGTGACCTGTTTTCATTGATGACCACTACAGGCTCAATTGATTCACACAGCAGGCTATGGATTCTAATTGCAGTTGTTTTCTGCTGGAAATCACTCAATTTGTTCAGCAAATGACCCGTTTACCTTACTGCTGGAGATCAATCAATTTACTCACCAAATGACTTGTTTTATTGGTCATATTATCTATTCATGGATATCACAAGTTGGCTTAAAAAACATTTTGATTTTATTTATTTTTCCTTTTTCTAAACAGAAGGGTCAAAATTCTTTAAAATGGGACAGCAATCAGGAACATTATGAAAATAACAGGGATGCTAACAGCAGTGTCAGTAACTGCACAGGGCCAGTGATAGATCTTACAGGCCTTGATGGCCAGTATGAAAGCACTGCTAACTGTTCTATTGAGGAGAACAGCACCATAAAGAGGAGAAATGTGGAAAATGCAGGTGTCAGTGATAACAGTGATGTGGCAGATAAAATGTTCAATTCTGATTTCCAGCCAACATCTTATGATACAACAGACAGTTCTTTCAAGAAGGTATTATAAAGTTTCAGCTGCTAAACATGTACACATCAAAATGTGAATGTAATAATTGTTAACTTAGCTCCCAATGTGTGTTCTAGAATTAACCCCAACAGTTCCCAGCCTGCCAGGATTTACAGACTACCTAGAATGCCCAAGACAAATGGACCCAACTCAGTGTCTCTTTCAGACCTATAGTTTTGTTTATTGGGACCCATTATTACATGTATGAACTTGCTAAGTATCTTAGTATGTACTCTCTTAGAACCACACATCCCTTCTATTGTTATTGTACGCAGGATAGTTCCACATTTGTGAATAAAACTCAGTGTATAGCAATTTCAGTCAGTCTTGGTACTTGTCGGAAACGGTGGGTTTGGATAGCTTACCATGTTGCGCATCAGCTTCTGTCCTGGTTGGGGGAATGGTGTTAACTTCATCTAATTTGCTGATATTATTTCCCAGTCTTGGCACTGTCAGCAACCCAGCGTAGATGGGCTTTCTGTGGTTTCTATGATATGGAATTTGATATATTGGCTGACATTTCCTTAAAGGGGACCTTTAAGATAGCTGCACCAATGTTTCTATCTCATTGCCTCCATATCCTCTTAAAACATTGCTGCATGGAAGGATTGTATTCAGGAAAGGGTAGTGCTGGAGATCTGTGGTGGTGATTATGCAGGCATCTGCTCCAGTGTCTACTTTCAAGCTCATGTCTTGGAGTTAATAAATCTTGACCTTAGCGTAAATCTTGTCTGGATGGCTCTTGAGGATGTTTAGTGAATTTTCTTGGGTTTGCTGGCTAATTGTTGAAGTGAGAGTTCCAAGAAATATAGTGATGGGTTCTGTTGCTTGTTTCTTCTTCTGATTCTTCTTTATAAGTGTACACATTATACATGTAATCATCATCAAAGGGATATTCATCTTTTAGGTGGATGCCCTGGCCCTGGTATCTGGAGAACTCATGATCTGGTGAAGGCGTTGGTGCATGCACACCCTTACGTAGTTGTCACTCTTGCTGCAGTGCTTGCATTTTGAATTTTAGCAGGGAGCTTACTGATTTGTAATGGATGTTTCCACATCTGAAGCAGCCTTTTGACGTGACCTGAAGTTGGTGAGGTTTTCTTCTGGTTGAATCTTTTTATTTTGGTAACCATAGGGCATTTGGTGTTTGAAGCTCTGTCTTGGTGGAGGTTTTTGGGTCAAGTATGTAAATTCTCGTTGAACTGTGTGAAGATCAGATTTCTCATCACCTTTGGAAATTGTCTTCATTTGCACTTTATAGTGCTTTCCTTGTCTTTCACGAGGTTGTAGGCTGAAGGTTAGCCCGTTACCAAGCGCTATTGCGTCTTTGCATACTTTATATGTACTTTATCTCGGAGGGTATTTTGTACAAAAAAAATAACTCAAAAGTGAATGTAACATCTCATCTCTGCATGCACACCAGTAGTTCAAAACAGTTTCCAGCACTTTCCAAGACCAAAATTTTGATGGGCTATTTACTGCCAATCAAATTTTGATTAGGATGATAAGATGCAGCTTTTGGCAAAGTTTAAAAAAATATATAGGGTGTTCAGAGCCACCTTCCATTTTTGAAAATTTAAGGTGGCTCTGTGCCTCATCTCTTTTCCAAAAGTTGTATCTTATCCTGCTAATCTAAATTCTGTTGTAAAAAGTGGGCATCGTAAGCCTTTAAAGCTAAAATTAAGGTCAATTTTAGCAGCTTGTACTGTTGCTATAGTAAACTATTATGTAACAAAAATGATAACAACATGTTCACCAATAATTGAGCAGTCTTTTGATGCCATAAGTGTAGCATCAACTGATAAAGGGTGGTTACAATGACCCACCAAAGTGCTGCAAACTGTTTTGAGCTACCTTAAAATGATGTCTTTTGAATCAGTGGCAAAGAATTTGTCTGCTTTTTCAGCATCCTAGAGAGAGGTTAGGCAGTTCTGATAGTGAAGGAAAGCCTTTTGACTCGCCACTACTGCTTGAAAATTTGGCATCAGAAAAAGGTCCACTACCAGAGAACTTTCAGTCAATAAAAAGACCGCCTTCCCCAGAGGATCTGCCATTAATAAAGAGTCCACTACTCCCAGAAGACTTCCAATCAATGAGTAATCCACCATCCCCAGAGGACATCTCACCAATCAACAGCCCCTCAGCCACAGAAGACCTCCCACCTGTGAACAGTTCATTACCCTCAGAGGGTATCCCATCAATGAATAGTCCCCTACCTCCTGAGTACTTTTCACCACCGTCATCACCCAGCATCCCATTAACAGCAGAAGATACAATCCATCCCATGTTGCCTTGTGGGGCCCCAGAGGTGTCTACTTATGGGTAAGCTACTAAATTGCAAGAAGTATTTTTAGAGCAATAGGTTAAAATTTCGAAGCAATACATGAATTCATCATCATTAGTCCTGGCTCTCCTCCAGGAGAATAGGGCTATCAATACGTGAATTACCCAGAACTTATTCTTGCTGAGTGGTTTTCAATTCCTCTGATATCAGTATCATTTCAATCCATGCCATAAAGCAAGAAACAACAGATTTAAGCTTAAAATTGTCTTAAATACAGAGCTGCGTAAAAGTTCCTGAAATGAAAGACATGGAATTCTAAACTGTGTGACAATCTCTTTTAGGAAAGCCTTTTGATAAAGGATTGTAATCCCAGAAACCTAAATGTAACCCTAATATACATTGTAAGAAAAATATAGGGATCACAATGAGCAGATTATAAACTATCATATAATGCGCACTTTCCGAGAGTAAGCAAACAGGTATAAATTACAAATATCAATTGTCAATAAGGATAGAATTGGGTCAGATTGAGGCAGACTGAATTTTATTTGAAAAATTAATGGAAGTGAAAATGTATCCAGCCTACTTGATCTAGTGTTACGGTTGCTTTACATTTGTTTTGTTGGCCGCTGATAAAACCTGGAACATGGAACATTCCAGAACATCCTGCAACATTCTGGAACATTAAAAAATTATAATAATTATGAGAAAAGTAAATAAAATTAAATAAAGAAATAACTATAAAAAGATAAATTAGTCAAAAATAAAATAGAATAAGAATAAACATAAACTGGTATCAGCTCGGAATATGAAAAGATATTTTGCCTGGAAGGGAGTCTGATATGTGGGAGGGAGCGTTGGATAAGGAACAATTCATTCAACTGACCGCATTGAGTGGAGGCTCCACTTCTTTCCTGCCAATGGTATCACATGGCTTTACAGCAACCTGTTAGTCTGTGAGAAATCGTGTATATATGCATATCAGATCTATAACAAAACTCCAGCTAGAAAAAAATATTTGTTAAATTACAGAACATGTATGGGAACTGTATTACGGAGAATGTATGGGCACATTCACATAGTTACAAATTTCTTGAATATAAAAAAATCAATCCGAAAAAATGGATAATTTAAAGTCAATGATGCAAAGATGTGTTGGTCAAATATCAGATCTATAGCATTAAAACTCAGCTAGAAAAAAATATTTGTTAAATTACAGAGCATGTATGGGAACGGTATTACAGAGAATGTATGGGCATGTTCACATAATTGCAAATTTCTCGGTTATTAAAAAATTTAATCCAAAACCAAAATGAACAGTTTTAAAGTCAATGGTGCAGAGATGATGTCTGTTAAATATCAAATCTATAGCATTAATACTCAAGCTAGAAGAAATTATTTGTTAAATTACAGAGCATGTATTGGAACGCCATTTCAGGGAATGGACACTGTATGGGCATATTAACATAATTGCAAATTTCTCAACTATAAATGATTTAATTCAAAAACAGAAATGACAGCTTTAATACCAGTCATGTAAGGATACTTTTCACCAAATATCAGAAGAAAAGGTCTAATATTGAAGCTATATGAATTATTTACAGGTATATTGTAATTATTTAATTTTATTTTTTTTATATCTTGTTTGTGTAATTGGTTTTATATATTTTTCTCATAATTATTATAAGTTTTTGATGTTCCAGAATGTTCTGGGATGTTCCATGTTCTAGATTTTATTGATGGTCTGTTTGGTTTGCCAGTGGATTTCTTCGCACCTGTCTTCGCACTAAATAAGTGACCTGAGGCAGCTCAGGCCGGGGCCTTTGATTAAATGTGTTTTTGTACTTTGTATTTTGTACATTCACATTGTCAGTCTTTTCTCTCTTCCAACAGGAGCAAGGAAATGTCTCATGTACTGCTGCAACCCCTTCCTCAACAGGTACATTTTACACAAAGCTAGTAGCCAATAATTAGGCCTTACAATGTGTTTTTGCATTTAAATGGTGTTTCTTACAACACCTGCCATTTAAAATCATTTGCAGAAAACATTAAATCTCAAAATGTGCCATGCAAAAATTGAGATGAACAACAGCCTCTATTAAAGATATACATGCATACAAAGGTTTAAAACCATTTCTTAACTTACGAAAGAAACTATGATAAATTAAAAAACACTCTCACAACAGTAATTAACCCAGACATATCAACAATACTACACGAACTAAAAGGGATTCTTTCACATGAAAACATACATAACAATTCAAAAACAAGAAACTAAGATGCTTTACCAAAAATTGTACTGAATTCTTTCCGATCACTAATGTGTCATCTTGAATAATTTTGAAAACTATGCATGTAAACAAGTATATAGAAGTTGCGTAAAATTACATACACTGTTAAATTTGCTGGAATTTTCAACATTATTGAGTTAAAATATTAATATTATCAGATTGGTTCTACCCTGTAATTTGTCGCCAAAATTTGAGTCCATGTATAATCGGCCTAATTCTATAATCGAGGTTCCTACTTTTCACTTGGTATCCTGTTTATAGTAACAAATTTACAAGAAACAGATTGATGATCTTTCTTTTTTAATTTATGCAACAAAGAATCATTAGCAGGTTCATGAAGTTTAAGTCTTACTGTTAATAACATTGATAGTGCAACGCATCCGTGTGATTGATTATTGTAGCTTATTATTACTCCATGTGATGTTCACCAACAGACTCCTACGTCCAAGGTCAAAGTTCATTTAGAACAGGCACATGCCCTGTGTTATGAGACAATGGAGAACATTTGTTTGATGTTAGATAGAGCAGATCCAGCCATCCTCAACAGCTTACCCCAGGATCTTAATGAGGCACAGAACTTAAGGTTTTTATTGCACTGTAAAGTTGTGTGTTAATATGACTCAGCATGATAAGAGTAGGCAAATTTCTTGTTAAGTGCTGCAGTGGATAAGTGCAATTAAATGCACACTTATCAAAAATTATAACAAATGCATAATGGTGTGAAAGCAGCATTTACACTTCTCGTGTTGTTTGAAAATGCTTTCAAATTGCACTCATCTAAAGGCTCATGTAATTTTGAGAGAATTTTCAAATATCACTCAGGTCCAAAAGGTGGCTGCTTCACAAATACCAAATTGACAGAACGGTTGTTTGGGTCAAGTCAGGTTTTCATGGTGTAGAGGTTCCATTACTTTATACTTTTTTATACATACACTTGTCTGTTTTGGGGTTGGTGGAACATACATTGTAAATCAGCTAGTACACAAAAAATTTACTGAAACATCTGTTACGTAGGCCTGTATTAAGCAGACACCCTGTATCAAAATAATGGCAAGGAGCCTGTAGGTGCTGCTTAGGTGCTGCTTCTTCACTTAAGATGCAGAAGACTCTTAAATATCATTTAGCAACACATCTCCACATAAAAGGTATACTCTATGTCTATTAGTGTGGATCATTCTAAAAAGATGTGGTCACCTACATAAATTGTTTAAACCCTCTTCATAACTTAACTTGGCAAACCATCTTGGAAAAATAAGGATTATTGAAGAATTGAAGTTCTAGTGGTAGTGCTTTGATATAGTTTTAACATGCAGGTGATGTGCCTGACATGCTTATCTAAAAGGCTGATTTTTGGTGTAGACTTCATTGGGCAACTTTAATACATTTGTCCATTTTTGAAACCAGGAAAAGAATTAAATTAAAAGTTGCACAGCTTGAAGACATGTTGAAACAGCGAGGAGAAAGTCCAGAATGCACATTCAAGAGCTGTAAGTAACAATAATATTTTCAGACAGGGAAGTCATATTAGTAGTTGATCCACCGCAATGATGGTTGTACAAAGGTGAACACATACTTCAAAATTTAATTGACAATCTGTTCTTCATGTTCTTTACAAAATCCATATCTGTTGTTGCTGATGGTTATTTTGTTGTGCATTACATCACAGACCGAAGGTTATCAACATGCAGTTATAATCCCGGAGAAAGTTTTTCTGAGGGGGACAGAAGGATCTCAACTGCATCATGCAGCGGTGCAAATAAGGAGAACAAATTGAATATTCCTACAGCTTCTAAAAACTGTACAAAAATCACCGGTGCTACTACTGTTCTTCCAGCTGGCTTAGCTGATCATAATGTTGTACAAGCTAAAGACTCAGCCATTAGCTCCATTTCTGTGTCCTCTGCAGGTGTGGCGGATTGTATAAATAAAGATTCTCTCCTACTAACAGAATTAGTGGATAGCACTGATGATGAATGGGCAAACACATGTGCTTTTGATACCAATTATGGAGAAAAGGTGTCCTCCACTTCTACCTCTGGTAGCAGAATTGGTTCAGTGGCATCCAGAACTTGCAGCCAACAGGTTACTGTTGCCATGCCATTTCAAGACAAACCAAACTACCAACCTACTACTACTAGGGAAATCAACAATTTCAATTCAAGCTTCAATTATCCTCAAAGAACCAACACAATTCCTAACAATGGCCATGACAGTAAGTTAGTTATTTGGTTACCTCAGTTGCTACTTATCCATAGGCATCAATATGCCCTCATCTTTACTACCTCCTTATCACTCTAAGCATATAGTTAACAGAGGAACAGCCCGGTAAACATCAAAGGAACAAGCAAAGATACCAAGATTTATTTGCCCATGCACAATGGTTTGTTTTGCGCAAATACACTGTGTGTGAATTACATAACCAAACCGTTCTATTGGTTAGTTCCTCAGTCAGTTATAAACATCAGTTGTGTTTTGTGCATACCGTACCTTATTACATACGATAAATCTTCACATTCATTATGTCAAAAGTTGGTACTTTCAAATGATGAGGTTCATAATTATCGAGATAATATAAAATAGTGGTTATAAGCCCCCACCCCACCCCCCACACCCAGTTGTAGGTCCTTTAATAGAGAATTTTCTCAGGAAATGATATGACAGTCATGTTGGTGTTCCAAACCAATCCTGTGAGTTTTTAAGTCTTTTCTTATGTAAGCATTTCACTTTTGTTCAAATAAATTCAATGGGTGCTGGCCATGTGAGTGAAAACAGTATATGCAGCTGGTCATAAGCCTCCCTTGTCCCACATTATCATGTGTCTTGATAGGGCTGGATGTCGGTGTCAAGGTTTTTATCAGCTCATTTTGAAATGTTTTTTTTTTTTTATCTGCTTGTAAGCTCCCACCCTGTTATAAGCCCATCTAAAACCACTAAATTAAAAGATGTTCCAAGATGATTTTTCTTTCGTGATATCACAGTGGGAGAACAGGCAATCTTAATGCAAAAATCTATTCATGCCATCTGATTTGTGTTGTTGTATATCTGGGAATTTGAAAATGCAAAAGTTTATAATGCTGAAACAATTCCTCACACAAGGATGTTCATTTAATAAGCAATAAATTCAGTTCATTTCAGGCTTTCTTGAGACTGAAAGCTTGAGGCTGTGGTTTGAACCCAAAAGATGATATCATTGCTTCTAAGCTATTATTGCTCTCTTCGTCATTGGTTGAGTCTTCTTGACGTTTATTCCTTACCATTTCAAACTCTTCATAAGTGTGTTATGGTTCTAAGCACATGTACTGGTATTTACAGTCTTCAAAACCACAACACACCACCCCATGTTGTTTTAAGATGTTTTGGGATCAAACCCATGAACTGGATTCAAACCCATGATCTTGCAAGGTCATGGGTTCAATTCCTGTTTAAGCCTGTCTTTTTTTTTTGCTTTATCAAAAATACTTAAGGAGGCTGACAATAGTTTCTTGTTCTTTCAATCCCTTATACTTTAATTGATGGATCAATACTTCCACTCTTTGTCATATGATCCTACAATAACAATATCGCATAAATGCCCATCATTGTTAAAAAGTTGTGATTATTCTTTTTTTTATAACCGGTTACCATAGCAATGGTACAACCTGTTAGAAACACTCTTATAACAAGCTCCTTAGCCCCCATATTTTATTATCAAATAGAGGATATTACATGGCCACATGGAGATATGAAATTTCTCTTTGAGTGTCAACACTAATGAAATAATAAACCATTTTACATTTGCTGCGAAAGGCGCGATTTATTATTTAATCATAGCAACGGTAATCTTCTCACATGTGAAGGTAACAAGTTATTTTCATGTGTGAAGATATCATGTTTTTGCTTGAAAGCTCAACTGGTATTTCATTGGTGTTTATATGATAAGGTGTAACATTTTGCAAAGTTTTAAAAAATTCTATGGAGGAGCTTCTGAGCCACCTTAAATTTGTAAAAATTTAAGGTGGCTCTGAACCCCCTTCAAAGAATTACCACTATTTGATGATAAAAATGGGGTTCACCGCATTCATTTTTGAGTCACAGAGAACTCTACTGGTGTTTATGTTGCTAAGTTAAGTGAAGCTTGTTACTTGTACTTTTGTATGTCAATTAAGGTATTTTTAAGATGAAACCGGACCATAGTTTCTGGGCTTATTGTTTTCTCTACCTTTTGCAGTTGAACTGAAACGAAAGGATTTACCATATCACAGGGAAATGTGGAAAATATTGAAAAATGTGTATAACATCCGTTCATTAAGAACAAATCAACTTGAAGCCATTAATGCAGCTATGATGAAGCTTGACTGTTTTATTTTAATGCCGACTGGTGGAGGAAAGAGCCTGTGTTTTCAGCTGACTGGACTGATGGGTGCTGGGGTGACCTTTGTTATTTCACCCCTCAGATCTCTCATTCAAGATCAAGTACAGAGACTCCAGTCACTCAAGGTAAAATTATCAGTATAAAGCAGCTGCCTTGAAATTCTAGTGGTTCATTTTATGCCAGCGACATTGGTATTTTGCAGTAATGTATGTAGCTATCCATTCAACCAGTGCAGTCTTCTTTCTGCCCTGTGAAACAAAAGGTTTCCATGAGAAAGAACCAGTGCTGTTGGTATGCAGTATATTATCTTGAAATGATATTCACTTCAGGTTATGTTCTTTGGAATTCATTGGAATGGTACAATTAAATTTTGACCTAGTACCCTTCTTGCAATAACCCCAATATTAGCTCAAGTTGCAGTTTGTATTTTCTACATTATTTTGATAGAGGTTTGTTCGAAAATAAATGCAGATCCTTTTATGAATTTATGCCTTGTGAATAATAAGCAACCTATCTTGTGCTATCAAAATTTAATTAGCACTCAAATCAAATATCTCTAATTTGTAAGGTCAGGTCAGTGCATTCAAGACTTATTTTCAACTCTTTGCATTAATTTTCACACCTCATTACACACATATGACTGCATATATTATTTTGTTGTTTATATAGTTACCTGCTGTGCATTTACTGGGTGATGCAGGAGCTGGTTCAACCAGACACCTCAACTCTGTCTATCAGGACTTATCTCTCAGGAATCCAACCGTAAAACTAGTGTATGTGACCCCAGAAAAGCTCTCAGCCAGTGATAAGCTCATCTCTGTCATGAACAGTCTGTACAGCCGTGGACTGCTTGACAGGTGGGTTATGTCATTACATTGTGATTCATCAATAGCTCCTTATTTTCTTCCATGTCAGTTCCTTAAAATTAGCTATTGGCTTTGTGGCTATGTTTTGTGGTCAAATCTCAAGCAATCAGCTTGTTGCAATGTAATATACTTTAAAATTTTCCAAGCACAATGATTTACCTAAGGAAACTGACAGACTGACATGACAGATTATATGACGAATCATCCTCCAAGGGACAGGTGATCTATTGCTTGGTTGAAAGTTTCCGCAAAGCAAGAAATTGGAAAATAGCTAGCCCAAAGTAATGGATTCTGAGAGTATTGAAGAAGGTGTAATAATTAACAAGTTTTGGACAAGGTTGGGCAAAATATCATGATTTGACAGTGGCAAGCAGATAGTTATTTGCTGAATCCGAAGGCTAAGGCAAATGATTTATCGTATTGAAATCCCTCTCTGACAGTTCAGGAAAGCGATCTCTCATTTTTCACACAAGAGCGTAGTTATTACGCATGAGCAGACCATTAATTGTAGGCAGTTATTTGCAGATCGCGTCGTGGGGTCTCGGCCAATGAAAAGGAAAAGAAGGCATCGAGTGATAAAGCTTGGTGTTGTAATCAGTTGTTGGAGTTTGTGTCATTTATTTTCTTAATTTTGTTAGTTAACAAAAATCTAACTTGAACTCCACAGTCACAGCGTGCCAGCAAACCTGCTATATATAGCTACAGGAGTCTTGAAATACAGGAAATACCAGTATAAAGAGTAGCATCGTACCCTGTACATTGAACAACATCAAGCAGCAAGCAGCTGAGGTTGTTTGTGACTGCAGTCAGCTCATGGTGTGCTCTTGTGTTAAGTGAATTTTTTAAATTTTTAAATGCCACGTAAAAGGATATCTATAAAGTTCCAGTAGAATCCTTCCCCAAATCGTTGTAACTTACTCAAATTGTTTGCTCACAGGATTGTGATTGATGAAGCGCATTGTGTCAGTCAGTGGGGCCATGACTTTCGCCCAGACTATAAGAAGCTGTCAGTTTTGAGAACGAAGTTCCCTAATGTCCCCTTTATGGCACTCACAGCAACTGCTACGCCCCGTGTTCAAAAGGATGTTTTACATCAGCTGAAGATGGCAAAGCCAAAATGGTTGGTATTGTTCAGTGATGTTCTCTGCAATGATAACATGTCTCTTGTTCTTCCAATCACCGGGCTCGGGGGCCGGGGGGAGGGGGTGTACGTGTCAAAATTCAGTTTTGAGACAAAAAGTTTCTGTCTCAAAGCAGCCAAACATAGCGATCAGAAACTTTCGGGTGCTTCAATGAAAATTTCGCAAGAATTCATTCGTAGACCTGCAGTGTTGAAGTTACAGTCTGCTGCAAGACTACTGGAATTCAGCAAAAATAAGTCCACTTCAAATTACCAATCCACAGCGATGCTATCATGGTTTTAAGCTATTCAAATCAAAGAATCCGTGGCCTTGGCATTTTCATAAAATTCCGGGCAAATACCGTAAATGTGGGAGAGAAAATCCACAAAATAGAAAAAACGCGGGCGAGATGAACCAAAGCCTGCACTGTGTCCCGCAAGACAAATTTCCCCGAAAGCCATATAATAAATTTGTTCGTTTTTTTTTTTGCGAGTTTATGGACCTCGACTCCGTCTCGGTCCATAAACACGCCCAAAAAATGAACTTGGCCAGTATCCAGCCATCTTGGCCGAACAATAAATGTGACCGTGTTGTTTACTTAACATGTTGCGGTGATGGTGTTAACGAAGTATTGCATAAACCTGCTGAAGTTGGCTTTATATGGTTTGTCAACTTGATAACACACTGTTCTAGAAAGGAAACCAAATAAAGAAGTGGATTCATTAGCACAAAACGTTTTCCTCTACCCCCCTCCCCCAGTATTAACACAAAAACGTTTTTCCCCCCCTCCCGTTATAAAAAGTGACTGTTGCATAACACAATTTGCAACAGGTCGTTTCTGAACGGTTATACTAACGCACTTCAATCTAATGACAGGTTCACCCAAACGTTCAATCGACCCAATCTGCGTTTCGTTGTGAAACCCAAAAAGAAAGTCATGGAAGAAATACTCCAATACATAAAGACAAAACATCCTGTCTCTTCCGGGATTGTGTATTGTCTCTCCAGGTTGGTGATTGCAAAAGTTATGTCATATCTTAGTCCCACTTAATTCGATGTTTACTATACTAAACTACTTTACCTATTTGCAGCAGGCAGGGTTTATAGATGTTTAGGAATACCACTTGTTTTAGGCAAAACTGAAAGGTTTCGTTTTTTTTACTACCTGATCAGTTGTTCCTGGTATTCCAAATGTCCCCTGGCTTTATGTGACCTCTACTTTGCTAGAAAATTCTCCAACATTATTTCAATTTGGAACACTTCAAGGCAAGGTTTACAAGTATTTCTTTTTGTTTCGTCTCTTCATTGTTATTAGCACGCTGTTTAAGAGCTGTCAGGATG